AAAGAAGAATATGGGAAGGCACCAAATCACTGTCCAAGGAGCAACATGTAATGGGACATAGGTAAAGCCATGAAACACAAGGTGATACATAGATCAATAGAAATGGGTTAATTTAAGATGAAAGAGCTAGCTAGCAAGAAACCTACCATAGGCCATACAGTTGGTAATTAATATAAGCCTCTGAGCAATTATTTTATAAGCAGCTGCAGGACCTCAGGGCTGGGTGGGACACAGGAAAACTTCCAGCTACAGGCAACCCATAGGAATGGCAAGACCCTAGATTGTTTAGGGGAGTGGCCTCTAGAGCCTCCCTGAACAACAACTCAAAAAGTGGTATTCCATACATAGCACTTGAGGTTTTGTTTAATAACCAGTGACTTCTAGGGACAGTTTTATACAGAGTGGGGGTGATGTGTGTGTGTGTGTGTGTGTGTGTGTGTGTGTGTGTGTATGTATGTGTATTGATGGTTATATTTTTAAATTACGTTACATAATCATAGGTTTCTGTGACTTTTTTTTTTTTTTTTTTTTGGTTTTTGGAGACAGGGTTTCTCTGTGTAGCTTTGCGCCTTTCCTGGAACTCCCTTTGGAGACCAGGCTGGCCTCGAACTCACAGAGATCTGTAGCTAGAGTTTTCCTGCCTTGCCTACAGTCAGGACAAATTTTTGTCACCCTCCAGTCCCATAGCCGCTCAGACCCAACCAAGTAAACACAGAGACTTATATTGCTTACAAACTGTATGGCCGTGGCAGGCTTCTTGCTAACTGTTCTTTTATCTTAAATTAACCATTTCCATAAATCTATACCTTGCCACGTGGCTGGGGCTTACCGGCGTCTTCACATGCTGCTGGTCATGGCGGCGGCTGCAGTGTCTCTCCGCCTCAGCCTTCTGCTTCCCACAATTCTCCTCTCTCCTTGTCCCACCTACTTCCTGCCTGGCCACTGGCCAATCAGTGTTTTATTTATTGACCAATCAGAGCAATTTGACATACAGACCGTCCCACAGCAGAGATCCACCTGCCTCTGCCTCCCGAGTGCTGGGATTAAAGGCATGCGCCACCACCGCCCGGCTATGACTTTTCCATACATATTGCAACTAGTTTACCTTGTCCTTGTTCCTCTCCTCTCTCCCATTCTCCCTGCTTAAATCACCTGCACTTTTCAGAGCACAGATGTTCATCTAAATATATCTCATTCTTGTTTAATACATATTAAACACTTACTTTAGGGAAAATAAATAAAATTAGAGAAAATAGAGAATGTTTTTATTGAGCTATATGTGTGAATTTTACAATGAAAATGATTATATATACTATAATGTGATTTAAAAATTAAGAACTAAATTTAGACTCAATGTTAATTATTATGTAAATATCAGATTAAATGGTGTGAAATCATTAAATCAAAATTTCACAGTAGGGGGGCTATGGCTTTCTAATTTAGATATGTCTGGCCATATCTTAATTTCTGAGGATTTTCATTTCCCTAACATGAAATTATATGTAGGGTTAGTTAACTAATGAAACATGCTAGATTTATAGAGAAAATTATTTGTAACCATGCCACTAGGTGTGTCCAGTTTTAACTCTGTTCCATGGGGAAAAAATAAATATGTTTTAAAAAAATCTTTATTTACTGGAGCTTAAGCAATTCACATGCTTTCCTTATGTCTAACTTTGGTACATAAAAGGATGGCAGCTAAAAGATCTTTAAATTGTATTCAGAAATGTTGCCAATTGAATTTAAGCTTAGCATGCAATTTATTTTAATTGCTTTCCTACTCCCCAAATTCTGGAGTTCAGAGTTTAACTCGAAATTGTTTTCTCAAGTTTAGCTCTAGCCAAAGTCCAGGAAATGGCTTATGTCTGTCAATATTTGACTTAATGGATTTGTTCTATGTTGGCGCTTCATCCTTTTCATACTAGACTGTGCCGATGACATAACTATGTGGCTCTTTGCAGGCTCCACTTGGAAGTAGCAGACAAAAACCATGAAGAAATCAGCAATTATTTAGATGGGTTATTGATTCTTAGTAGAGTTCTGTAAGAAATCATATGTTTATTAACTCATTATTTTGCTTTTATTTTATCCTGATATAATTTCAGTATTTTCATGAATTCCAACCCTAGTTAAGAAGTTTTTAAGTCAGGAACAATATGAGGAGGTTCAAGGTATGAAATCAATGAGTTATCTGAATGTTAAGGTTGTTACTTAGTGGGAAGTTTTTACTGCAGAAACAAAGCAGTAGAGAAGAACCTCTTCAGAGAAGAACCTCTTCAGCCATGTCATTGAGAGAAGCTATCTTAAGTTGGAGAAAGTCCAGCAGAGTCTAGATGAAAAGGGACTGGAGTTTTCAAGGCTAGGGTTGGCTGCATATTTAATTACATGGGATGGCTGAGAGGAGAAAGCCTACCATGAAATAATGCATCTGGTATGTGCTCTGCTGAAGCTTGTAAATATGATATGATAAGAAATGATTGCACATGAGGCAGTTTAAAAGAGTTCACACTTCTGAACTCATAAGAACCTGCAGTTGAGGCCATAGATGCTGACTGCAAGCTCTTGAGCTCTCTTAGAGAGTTTCAACTGGAGAGCAAAGGGCTGTCCATTTTCAGAAGACTCTAGCAGGAGTGCCAAAGACAAATAGAGTGAGAACAAGAGGCATCAACCAGTATCTTCAGGGCAAAGTGAACCTTGAAACATTGTCAAATGGCAGAGTTGGGCAGGAGAAATATTGACTGTAGATATGATGGAAGTGGGAAAGGTAAAGCCTCATCGGCAATGAAAATTGGACCGTGTAGGGAATGCAGTAATACTGGTTTAATTCCCAGACATCTGTTTTAAGTTAGTGGGTGGAGAGTTGGGATACTCACAGATGGAAAAAGGAAGTAGTATATTACTTGCTTTTATATAACGGGTACCACATTACCCAACAAAAACAACTTATGGGAAGAAAGATTTACATTGTCCCACTTTTTTAGAAATTTCATCTCATCATAGAAGGGGGGGGGGCTGTGGTGAAGCAGGCCAAATGGGGGAAGTGCGAGTATGAGGCAGAGGCTGTTTCGTACTTACCTATGAGGAAATTTTAATAACTACTATTAAATTTATTCTTCTACAGTTTCATAGGTGTGTATAATGCCTCTGATTTCTCTTATCTCTTGAAAAATCATCCCCTTCCCTACAAATCCACTTTCCCATATTCACATGTCTGTGTTTTGTTTTGTTACACTCTGAGTTTTACCAGGGCTATTCACTGAAGCCTGGTGGGATAATCAATGGGCATAAAACTGAAGACAGTGACTCTTTATCTCCCAGAATCCATCAGGAGCCAATAGTTCAGCAAGAAAGTGTAAGGCACTGTTGCCCCCCCATTGCCACCAACCATGTTATAGATTGTTTCACATTCTTGTGAAAGTTCAGCACAGACAACCACAACTGATCCAAAATCATTATTGCAATGGCTATGTGATGCACAGAGGACAGCACTTCACAGCCCCTTTCCTTACCTTTGGCTTTTACAAGATTCCCAACCCTTCTCCTGTGATGTCCCCTGCTTCCTAGAAAGGACGTGTGTCTCATTTAGGATTGAGCATTCAACTACTACTCATTCTCAAAACGTAAAGCAGTCGTGCGTCTTTGCATTCACCTCATTCATTAAAAAAGGCAAGCTTTTCCAATTAAAACAGAGAGTAGCATTTGTCTATGAATATAAACACAATATTTAGAAGGCAGTTTGATGCTGCACCAATTGAGCTCAACAAACTCAACAGTAGTAAGTTTCCCTGTATGGCTTAAGGCCTCCTCTCCCAACTTTTAAAACCTGGTTATATGGTACAGGTATGAATCCTTTACTGTGGATTGGGCCCCAGACACAATGAGAGAGTAGTTGATTACTCCCATAATAGCCGTGTCATTATTGAACCACTGTGCACCTTTTGCCTGGCAGCATGGTGTTATAATTCATAGGGCTCACTGATGGTTACCACACCTCTACACCAGCAGTCTGCATATCACCTCTGACACTGTGCAGGCTTTGTATACAGGGAGGAAGCTTCCAATTCAGTTCTAATTTGGTTTCTTTGTATTATTAAACCAATGTGCTTGGTGTCTTCAGCAATAGGGTATTACCATCTAGTTCCCCTGGGCAACCAAGAGCAGTAGCAAGAGCCTATTTTGTTTGGGGGACTTTGGCAGTAAATATATAAGGAAATATTCCATGCCTGGTACTTTGATTTTTGTTTAATAATTCATGAGTTTGAGGTGAAGCACTGGCTAGCTATGCAGGATATCACCTTTGTAATTCTTTGTTAAACCTATAATTTTTTAATCGGATTACAAATTGTAGAATTCCAAATGGACTTTTCATACCTCTTTCATCTTGGTCAGTCTTCCTTCTCTCCCCTCCACCTCCCCTGTGCTCTCACTCCATCCCTGCTTAAGTCTTTTCACCTAGTAGAATTCCTTTTGACTGTCTCATGTCCACAATCCATGCACCTTTAAGTCTTTCTGCACCACAATGGCCCTTTAAAGCTTCCCTGGATTCTCTAGGTATTCCAAGTTAAACACACAAATCTGATTCCTGGAAGATAGGATTCACCTGAAACAGAGAACATATGACATTTGTCTTTCTAGACTTGCAAATTTTACTGAGTAAATATTTCTCTAGTTCTATCTATCAATTTTTTTGTGAATTTAAGTTTTCATTGCAGCTGAATAGAATGCCATGATGTATATCTACCATATTTTTATTATCAGTTTATTAGTGACATGGAGACTGGTTGCATTGCCTAGCAATTGTGACTATAACAGCTGTGAACATGGTTGTGAAAGCGTGCAGTAGGATAAAAACTTTGAGTATAAGCCCAGGAATGATATAGCTGGATCATATGATACTGTAATTTTTTAGCTTTTTAAGGAATTTCAACACTGATTTCATTAGTGGCTGCACCCGTTTGCACTCACATCAGTAATGGATGAGGTTCTCCTCGTCATGGCCATCTTTTGTAGTCATTTGATTTCTTGATGATAGCCATTTTGGCAGGGGTGAACCTCAAAGTAGTTTTAATTTGTACTTCCACGATGACTAATGATGATAATGAGAATAAATATGTTTAAAAGTCTCTATTAGCCATTTGTATTCGTTCATCGATTTGTTGTAAATGGAGCTGATTGGAGATACCAGGTCAACATTTGGCGTGTGGGCATATGCCATAATGCAGGACTGGATGTCTCTGTTACTCTAGAGATGGAAAAAATTGGTCATTGGCACTTGAGAACGATAATATTGATAAAACTAAAGCAGATGTTGAGAGAAAAAGAAACAAGTTAGAAAGGATAACTTGGAGAAAAGTATATTTAAGATAAGGAAGTGAAGCTGACATGATGGCGTGGTACTAGTGCTTGCCACAAATTCCTGGTGATCTGTCCTTGATCCCAGAACCTACATAAAGGTGGAAGGGGAGAACTGGATCTACAAAGTCATCCTCAGGCTCCCACATGTTTACTGTGGCACTCACACAAGCAGTAAGACTCACAGTGTCAAAAAAGGAGGAGGAGCTAGTGAGAGAGCTCATGAAAATGTACAAGGTGCCATAATCAGGAGTCTATTGGGAACCTATGAGAGAATTGTTTTTCAGAAACATTGGAAGTCAGAGTTAAGATCTCGCTTGCTGGTATAGAAGAATGAAAAACAAATGGAAGCAGTAAGCTGAGCAAGTTCACATTCTGTTTTGAGGTGCTTGTGGGAGAAGAAAACATTGACTATCAAGATGAGAGACAAATAAACCTTACTAGTGCTTTGTGGTATATAGGTAGTAGAGGGGGACCTGGAAGCATGGATGAAATAGGAATTACTCATGAGGCAGAGACATAGCAACTCTCAATAAGTAGGTAATGGACAGCTGCCATTATTCATATTGTGAAGGAAACTGTGGATGATCAAGTCCAAATTACGGCAACTGAAAGCACAGTCTGTTAACCAGAGCTTACATAACAGGTGTTTTCAAACCTTTGGACAAGCCAGGCTTCTCTCTCAAAATCCTTCCGTTCTACCATATCCAGATATTTTTCTCCATAGACACACCAATAAAAAGGGGATATACAAAATGAAGACAATTGCTCCATTCAGAGACTAAAAGTCTGTCACAGGGACCCCTCCTACTGTGGGACACTTTACATTTGTGAAACAGTCCACGTGAATTTCTGTGACTTGCTATAATTTTGGAAAGAACTGTAATTAAAGCTGAAATTGGCAATAGTGTCATGTCTTCAGGATATTATTTTGGGCTCTTAGTTTTTCATATTTCAGCTGATAATTTCATAATGCAGAAAACATTGCAATTGAAATATGTGAAGACCCATACCAATATATTTAATATTTCAATGTTGTTAAGATAATATGACTAAATTTAATGTACTTACATATTACCAGTAAGATGTGTGAAAATGGAATTTACTTAGACATCTAGAAGTGCAATCTTCGTATTTTAAATGATTTCATTCTTTTGCAATGCCTACTGTAAACAGGACATTGAGCTCAGTGCCAATACAGAACAGGAGTTAATACTCGATCTGCAGAATGGCTCTCCAAGCTTGGTTTTGCTCTTCCACGTGGAACCCTTTGCATACTTGCAACTTTCAGTCTCTACAGTACTTTTTCACACTTCACATTGAGCTTGGAGTTGATGAAGATTTAGATCAGTAATCAAATAAAAGATTAATTTAAAAGGATCCAATGGGGGGGGGAATGGTTCTCTCCATTTTAAAAGTGTTTTAGGAAAAAAAAAGTTTTATTCTTGAACAAGAGGTCTAGCCACAGGTCAAAGACACTCAGTTGTTTGGCTAAGCACTTTGTGAGCCAAAAATACTTCAAAGGTTAAAGAAAAGATAGTCACAGGAAATGAGCCTTGGCTCAGAGTACAGCTGGATTCTGCAACCGTTTTACCTGATTGCATTTTATTCTGTATTAATCAAGTAGATGTAAAAGTGTATTCAATATTTTAATGAGCTAAGATCATTAGAGTTAAGCTTCATGAAGTCAGGTGATCTATCTTGTTCATTACTGATTCCCCAGTGCCCACTTCAATCCTTGGCATTTATCAGAGCCTTAATAAAGGTGTTTTAAAATAATCCCATGGAAAGACAATGAATTGAAGCCCCGAACATCAGCATCTGGTCACAGTTCTGCCTCTGAACCAATGTCTCAGCCAGACAAGCTTGTCCTTGTTTCATTGTTCTCATTTAAAAAAAAATAAGGATTTTTATTGATGGAAATTCTTCTGGTTTCATTAAAGTGCTTGGCAAGTCTATTTGGAATAAGTTGGCAATTACTACCTTAAAATAAATACATTTTTCATAGACGATATAATTGCTAACATTATAAATTAGGTCATATAGTAAATGGAACAAAATAGATTTGAGGATATTGATTTCATCTTATCACAGTGAAATGTTACAGTGCAGCTTTCCCACGCAGAAAGTTTTCAAAGTACTATGAACAAAGAAGAGCCTGGGGGTGCAGTTTCTTCGTTTTGTTTAAAGGAAATATTGAGTCAGAGTCCAGAGGGAAATATTTCTTTTAAGTTCACAGTGTGATTCCTGCAGGTCAGAGTTGAGGCCGAGGGCAGGCAGGTGGGGAGGGAATTCCTGGTCCTAATCCTGGGGTGTGAGTAAATAAGACATGCATTACCAACAGAGGGTGGACAGTATTCATATTAAGTAGAACCATGAAGTTGAATATATCTTTGTGGAATTCTAAAACAAGAATATCAAAGATCACAGAATTAATCCATGAAAAAATGGTTATAGAAATTAGGCTGTACTGACCCTCTCCCATCTCTCTTGTATCGTAGATCTTTGAGAATGTTACTGGGATAATTGTCCAAATCAAATTCCATGCATCCAGCCATGGTGAGTAGAACTATTTAAAATATCATTTTTTTGTTTGTTTATCTGTAATTTTTTTCCATTGTTAATCACAAACTTCTGGTGACTGATATAGGAAATTCAAAGAACTGATCTTCATGTTTCATATTTTTATGATAAAAAGGAGAATGATAGGCTAGGTAGCTCAGCTGGTGGTGTGCTGGACTAGTATGCTTGAAGGCCTGACTCTGCCCAGCACCACATACAGCTGGATAATGGTGGATTGAAATTCTAGCACTGAGGAGTTTGAGGCCGGAGTATCCTAAGTTCAATGTCACCAATAGCTACAGAGTGAGTTCCAAGAAGACTATTAGAGATTAGAGTCACTAAATAGTTTTGACTAAATTTTAAAATTGTTATCCTGAAGTGCAAATATACAATGTATATAGTTTTGCAGCACTTGCAAAAGTAAAATGCCTAAAATGAATCCTCTTGCTACTATCAAGTCTGTTTCACAAACACTGTGGGAAAGATTGTGTATGGAAATAGACGTATGAAACCCCCTTATCATGCTAGTGTGTGTCATTGATTGTCTTATGATAAAGTTATGAAAATCTAACCTTCAGGTATTAATGGAAAGAAACTGTTTGTCTGTTTGTTTACATTTGTTTTACCCTGGTAAACTGTTTAAATTTGCTTTAGGGGTTATCTCATCATCCTCCGCAATGAAATCATTTTTATTATTGTCTACAATCCCAGGTAGGACTGAATATTCTCTTGGACAATATTCTTCTGTTTGTGTCCATCACAGTGTCCAGCAAATGAGTGCTCTTGTATACAAAAGAGCTGTCTCAAGTATTGAGAGCTAAGAACCTAAATTAAGGGCTTCAGTGTGGCACTAACTATTGTGGTAATATTTTGTTTGTGATAGAACAAATAAACCTTGCCTGAAGATCAGAGGGCAGAGCTAGGCCACTAGTTAGCCAAGAGGCAGACGGAGTTCTGTGAATTCAAGGACACGCTGGGCTACACAAGACTGATCCAGTCCAAAAGAAAAACAGAGTGATGGCACACACCTTTGATCCCAGCACTTGGGATCTCATGCCTTTGCTTCCAGTACTTGGGAGGCATACATGCCTTTAATCCCAGCACTAGGGAGGCTGAGACAGGAAGTGATATGGCTGGGTGGTGAACAGAATATAAGGCTCGAGGAGACAGGAGTTCAGGTCTTTCAGGCTGAAAGAAGTAAGAAGTCTCTGGTGGCTCTGGCTGCTCTGTTGCTCTAATCTTTCTGCTTTCACCCTGATATCTGACTCTGGATTTTTATTATTAAGACCAATTAGGATTCATGGTATAGGCTATGTTTCCATCCCATAGTTTATGATGTTCATGGTGGATCTATATATTAAACATATCTAGTACAATAAAAATAAATCAGCCATATTCTCGACACTTAACCAGTTCATCCTGTTTACGAAACTGGGGATATTTTCAGTATATGAATGCACAGCCCACTGTCAGGATGCTAGATATAATGCAATGATGACCTAAGTTTCTCTTTTGCTTCCGTCTCTCATTGCAGCAAGACTGGAAATCTTGCTCACACATATGTCCTTTTGACCTTGACTGATTGTCAACTTGCTCTAAGCTTTCCCTTTTTATCAGCAAAATGAAGCAAAGAATACATATCTACTTGACTGAGTGTCCCAAGGGTTAAACAGATTAATGTGTTAAGAATGTTAGGTGTATACACACACACACACACACACACACACACACACACACACACACACACACACACACACACACCAAAAATGTTTCGACTAATTCTTTTAAAAAGCAGTTACACTAAGTTCCTTAGAAGGTTAGTTCTTGGGCTCTGAAGGGTCAGAAAAGGGAAAGGTTCTTTGTCAATATCACTAGTCATTAGCAAAACACAATGAAAACAATACCAGACATCATACCTCCTAAGGTGACTAAAATAAAAATGCAGATATTGTAATAATGACTGAGGATATGGGAAGAGTAAATTCTAAAACATTACTAGTGTGGTGGTAAAGTGATGTAGCTGTTTCTGAAAACAGTTTAACAGGCCCTCAAAAGTTTAATGTAGTTATTTTATGACCAAGCAATTCCATACCAGGTTCATACTAGGAAAAAAAAAAATAGAAGCTTACTGTTGGGATAAAGTGATTGACAAGAAGCAACTTCAGGGAGGAGGGGTTTATTTGGACTCACTGTTTGAGAGGATACAGTCCACCAGGGTGGGGAAGGGCTCTGAAGCGAAAGCAGGAGGCCCCTTATAACACAGCTTCAGGCAGGACTCGGCGGGGAGTGGATGCTGCTAGTCACCTAGCTAGCTTCCCCTTTACATTTTTTCCCCCAGCAGTTACAATGAATGGTTTTAAATAAAGATGCTTTGTGGATAATGTCTAATTCTGTATAGCCTAGTTGAACTTAATGGAACAATGAAAGATTGACCTTGTACATTAAATGAAGCAATGTTAAATAATACAAGTTACTTAGATGTATTTGAGAGATTTCTGTAAAGTCCCTTAGAACCACGTCCACGTGAGTACTTCTTACCTTTTGACATCCCACGCAGCTTCTTGCCATGTGTTTGTTCTTCAGTTATTTTGTGGCTCTAGGCATGAAACCACATTATCTGTAAATAAGAACCATTTTAGGTGTTTTTATTTTTTCCTTTTACTATAACATTCTTTAATATTTTCAGTTCATTACTTAATGGTGTGGTGGTAGCTTGTAGATGAATGTTAAATGACTAAACAGTATTTGTTTTTTTCCTGCTTTTATTTAGAATGTCTTTCATGATTATTATTTGAGTATCACATTGACCATTTATGTGGGTCTTTAATTCACTAGAATGTTATCCAATTACTAACAAGCTAAATTAGATTTTATGAGATTTTTTTCTTAATCTCATTTGAAATATATGAAGAACAATTTTAATCTGATAATTTGGTTTTCTTCTCTTGGCCAATTCACTTGCTCATGTCATGTCTTCCTTGGATAGTTTCATAGCTTAACATTTTTGAACAAATAGTATTAACAATTTATTTAGTATGTGTTTGTATTATTGTGTGTACTTGTGTGTATCTTCAGATATGGAGTTCAGAGGATAAGTTCCACGGTTAGGTCTCGCCTTCCACCACATGAGTGCTGGGGATTTAACTCACATCCTCGGGGTTGAAGGCAGGTGCCTTTACCTGATGAGCAATCTCACTGACCCAGCTCTCTCTTTTGTTATATAGTTTATGTCAATTTGTTTTATTTACTTAAGAATTTTTGGGAAGTATTGCAGAATGATGATAGTATTTCTTAGTATCCTTTTGTCTGGTAGTGTTAAGGAAAGGTAAGGGGTCACTGCAAACTCTCCCTGGAATGTGAATCTGGGGGAAAGATGCAAGTAAAATAATCAAGCCACAGACTTTACTTTAGGGGTGGTCTATAAAGAGTTTAAAATAGCTGAATATGTTGGTGCATGCCTTTAATTCCAGTACTCAGGAGGCAGACTCAGGGGATCTCTGAAGCCAATGTGGTCTATAGAGCAAGTCCCTGGATAGAAAGGGCTATATAGAGAAATCCTGTCTCAACAAAACAATAACAACAAAATGAAAATCCCCAAACTTTACATGTATTTTATCAATTATTATAAAGGAACTACATTTAATCTGACAGCCCTGAAATACCATGTTGCTCATTTTGTTAAGTTTTGCATCTTATTACCATATGTTTATAATTGAAATGCTTTTTCCTTGCAAAATTGTCACTGAATAAACCTGATGGACTCGCTGATATTTTCAACTTTTATGTATTTAATCTCTGATTTTCATTTTTTATGTCAGTATTTTGGAATATTTTGCTGATTCTCTCAAAAAGCCCAACCTGTAGTTATTGCTTGGTGTTGTTTGTCAAGTTATCAATTATTTCATTATATTCATATTGCAATATTCATTAATATGGAAATATCTCTGATTATATCCTCAGTTGTGTAAATAGGATTTGGATATAATAGTTTTCCAATGTTTTGAGTATGTATATGAAATAATACAATAGATAATCCTTGTCATATGATAATTTAAAGACATTTCTATCTTATCATACATCATTATATCATATAAATTCTTTATTCTTACAGATGGAGTAGACAAAGACAAGAATTATTTGTGCAAATTTGTACTGTAGGGTTATGTATAGGACTTAAGGATCTCTTTGGATCTGCACTGTCACACAGAAGATTGAGATCTCTACTAACTTCCCTCCTGTCTGAGAGGGAAGTGCCAGTGTTCCAGTTATTTCTCTGAATTATTCAAATCTAGTATTCTCACCCTAAGTGGATTTCTTTCTCGTGCCTTCTCGTTCATTTTGTGGCACTCAACTAAAAAGTGCAGTCGTTTTCTTTTGAATTAGTTAATATCTTTCTCTTGTGTCTTATTTTTAAGCACTATTTTATAACTAGTAAAACTCAAGGCAAATTTCAGACAGAAACTGAGACACAGTATTCTTTCTACTAGCCACTAAACATCCTCTGGAAAAAAAAAACTGTGTGCCAAGCAACATACCAAAAGATGGAGAAAGCAGACTCAGACTCCCCACCACAGGTAAAGTTTTAACAAGTCTGGAAGACAGAACGTTCTTCTGTTTGAACCTGCCAAGGCTCAGTATCTCCACTTTCTAGCAACATATCTTTTATTTGTGAACCTGAAGATATGCCAAACTTGGTGTGTTTTATCTCCAATCTGCCCTTCTTGCCAATTCCTGACCTACAAATGGCTATTCACATTGCCAACCCAGTGGATTTTCCACGTGTGAACTTTGCTGAATTAATGTTGTATTAATGTTGCATTCAATAGTTTGTCTTAACTCTTAGTAGTCTGCATCAAAATTCTGTTGACCACATATGCACATATCCCAAACTCTTCTATTTATCACCTTAGATTCAGAAAATAAAATATGCTCCAAGTGTTCTGTAAGCCCTGACAATGTATTCCTTTCTTTTGTACCATTCACCCTGTCATCAGAGTGCTTCCTGAAATTGATCTGTAATTGTGGTAAATTGTATGTCAGTCTGATGCAAACTAGAACTACCTAGAGAGAAAGTGTCAAGGAAGAATTATTTGGATCAGATCAGCCTATGAGAGATCTGCTTAAATGGGTTAATTGAAGTGGCAAGTCACCCTCTGAATGTTAATATAGAGAGGTCACTGAAGAAAGTGAATTTATGCATTCTCTCTCTCTCTCTCTCTCTCTCTCTCTCTCTCTCTCTCTCTTTCTCTCTGCTTTTGACTGAGAGAATGTAACTCACTGTCTGTCTGAAGTTTCTGCCACTACTTCCATATAGGCCATCTTAGACTTCCAGGCTAAGATGGCCTATAATCTAGAACTGTTAGCTGAAGTAAATCTTTTCTCCTCAAACTTGCTTAATGTCAGGGTGTTTTGTCAGAGAAACAGAAATGAAGATAAGGCATATATGATCATGTCAGTCACTTACTCATAAGTTTTGCCTTTGCATTGTGTAAAAGAAAAAGTCAAAGCACTTAGATAGCTTACTTAGTTTTATTCACAACTTATCAAGTTAAACTCTTCTCACTTTATTTTGGATTTATATCCTCATTTCTCCAAATCTGATCTCATTAATTATTAAGGATTATCACTTATTCATATTCAATTGCATAGATAATGTATATATACTAATCATTATTTGGAAAAGAAAAAAATAATCAGTAAATATTACCTCTTAAATGAATCAAATGGAGAAAACATTGTTTAGTTTGGTAACATAGAGAAAACCCTTGGAGTTTTATTATGAGAAGAATGGCATAGGAATGTAATTCTTATGTGTAATTTAGATTTGATCTAGTCAATATGCTTTTTTGTATATTTAGAAATAAAGTGTCAGAATCTTATAAAGTGCTATAGTTAGCAAAGTTTAATTCTCTGGGACCTAATATGCCTTAATCTTAATGACCAAAATAAATAGCATTTTGAGTCCAAATTAGAAATTCAAGATAATAGTAAACTATGACTTCTGCATGAAATTAGTGGTAGATTCCATTTTAGATTTAAATAACTATTTGCATATACTACTAAATAATTTACCTTGAAGGCTGTAATATTATGCCTCTTCTAGAACATTCATATTCAGCTATTTGTGATCATATAAATGTCAGTGTTTTTAAGTATGGGGTTGGATATTTGATCCTGTGACACAAAAGTCAGGACTGGGATGGTTATAAATGCTCATAAAGATGTCTCAAAAACTGGAGTTGCAGAGATTGACTCAGGTCGAATGAAGTCCACAGGTGCTTCACAAAACTTGGCTCAAGTATAGCCTGGAGTTCTTATATTCAACAAACATAAATCAGCCAACAAAAATCTGCCTTGTATTTTTGATAAGTGAAAAATGTCTAAACTTAATGGTATATCTTTACAATTATTCTTTGAAGTTTTTAATTGTTTGGTCTTAGTCATTTCTTTTCACATGCCAATGTATTAGTGCTTAATAGTGTTGTGTAATAGTCTAAAAACGTTACCAATGACAAAAATTCTTGAAATAATTTTAAAAATAGATCACATGTAATATGATTTCACTGATTTCTTAATTATTGCTGGAGCACATAATATTTTCAATTGACTTAACTACTATTAACAGATTTGTTCCAAGTCTGGCTTATTTTGTTTAACATTATAATCTCCACTTCTATCTGTTTTCCTTCATATAAGTGATACAATTTTGCTCTTTATGGCCAGATAAAACTCTACTGTGATATATATCAAATTTAGTGTTATCCATTTATTTGTTAGTGGGAATCCTGGATGATTCCAGACTATTGCTTGTGGTCTCTCCAATGAAGAATCTGTTGCTAAAAAAACAAACATGACTGTAGAAGGATTATTTAGGTTATAGAAGGAGAGAGGCATGAAAGAGGAGCATTGGAGATCATTCCAGAAGATTAATATGATCAAAAGACATATGAGTATATATGAAAATGTCATAGTGAGGCCAATTTATTCAATTAATGTTTGCTAATAAAATATGGAAGTATAAATTGTTCCTATTTCACGAGGGTTTTTTTTTTTAAAGACCTCAACTCCAGTTCACTTGGCAAGGATAATAGTGAACTTTCTTTAATAGCTCTATATTCTGTGAGGTTTTTTTTTTAAAAAGATATTATAGTTTTATAAGAGTAAAAAAACCTTTGAAATTTTGTAGATTTTTAAAAATAATATTTAAACATAGAAAAATATGCTAGGTTCACAATAAATGTCAATAAAGACCTTCTTCTTGGTCAAAAAGGGTCCCAAGTATTGGAACTTAAGGAATACAAAAAGACATATAGGATATTTAAATGACCTTGTGTTTCACACACTGAGGTCATTCTTATTACAGAAGGGCATACTTCTACATGTAGAATTATAACATCAAGTTAAAATGTTGGGTAGTATTTCGAGAGCATTTGATCTAATGCCCATATTACGTAGATTGCCAAGGAAATCCAGTGGATTAGTGAATTCAGCGGTGCAGTCAGCAATCCAATTTAACTGTAGTGATAAATAGATGGAGATAAACACTATAGTTTTTACCATTTGCTTTAGATTTGAATACAGATTTTAAAAATCAGATTATATATAAAAGGCTCCTGAAGGCAAATGAGGTTGAGCAGAGTCATTGTATCAGCTTTTCAAACGTATTTTGTAATGCAGCTTCTCATGAGGAATGAATATGCTTTTTCACAAGTATATCATTCCTTTTCTGTAAAAACACACTTCCCAACTACTACACATGGGTCATCAGACTTGTTCTTTCAAATATTTGATTTTTTTTTTTGGAGCATATGGAACCATTACATTGTCTTCCTTAAATGGTACGACCTAATTGACTTATTACACAATTTGTGGCTGAGATACTATGAAAACAATTCATAGCTGTAAAGACCAATCCAATCTGATTCTTACTGCTGGTATAAAAAAATAGGCTATTGAAATATAACTCCAAAACTTGAAAAGTGTTAGAACCTTCCTTTTCCCTTTAGATACAGCTAGCATGGTGTGGGAATCATACAGCCCTAGCTATATTGTGTTCAGAAATCCCTGCCACAATAGCACAGTGGAACTAAGTCATGGTGAATGGTCCAGCTCCATTCCCTCTTCCTGCTCAGTGTGCCTAGATTTATGTACCATCTGCTCTCCTTGGATTGACCTCTGAAGCCTGTGGAGTACGTCCTTTCCCCTTACTAACTAGAGGTGTGGCCTCCATTGCCTCATTTAACAGTCAGGTTTGTTTGTTTGTTTGTTTGCTTTGTTTGCTTGCTTTGTTTATGGCCAGGGGAAGGCCCTTTTTTCTTCACTACACTAAACTTTTCATCAGTATGGATGGAGATAGACAATTAGAAAGTATCTTAATTAAATGTTTTCCAGATCACAGTCTTGGAATCTAACAAACTTGTTGAAGATGCTCCCCACACCCCGCTCTGTAGCTAGAGTTTACTGCCTTGCCCACAGTCAGGACAAATCTTTGTCACCTGCCAGTCCCACAGCTGCTCAGACCCAACCAAGTAAACACACAGAGACTTATATTGCTTACAAACTGTATGGCCGTGGCAGGCTTCTTACTAACTGTTCTTATAGCTTAAATTAATCCATTTCCATAAATCTATACCTTGCCACATGGCTCGTGGCTTACTGGCATCTCCACATGCTGCTTGTCCTGGCAGCAACTGGCAGTTTGTTTCACTCAGCCTTCCACTTCCCAGAATTCTTCTCCTCCTTGTCCCGCCTATACTTCCTCCTGCCTGACTACTGGCCAATCAGTGTTTAATTTACTAACCAATCAGAGCAACACATTTGCCATACAGAACATCCCACAGCACCTCTCCTTAGTAGGATTGCCAGCAGTAGACCTTATCACAAAAGACAAGGATAAATATTTATTGAGCCCAAAAAAATATCTGAAGGACCCTCATTTGTTTACATTGTCTTGTGAAGATGTTTAATTATATGTGGCATTATTAGGGATTCTGGATGAAACAGGGTGTTCTTTAATATTTGTAAATAAAACTGTATGGAGTAAACAAATGGTTAAAGTACTTTCAAGTGTCCAGGATAAATATTTAAAGGATATTTGTTTTCAGATGAAAGCCTCTGAGAATATCGTGTGCTTTACTAAATTTCTGCAGTATCTGTCTTTTTTTTGGAACTTGTGGGATCCACGGTTTTGTAACATTAGTATTTGCAGATGTGACTTGTCTTCCCTTGCAGAGGCATGGATGACAAGAGAAAAAATTTTAGTTGGATTAAATAATTTTTTCCTTGAAGAATAAGAAAATGCTGAAGGAAAACTGTACTGCTTCAATTTGGCACATTTCAGAATATGAATTGAGTAACTCTTGACCAGTTATGAATAATTTACTTTCTCTATTATGCTAACAACACAAAAAATTAAGGAGAGAGTATGTAATCCCTGTATTGTTCATGAGTTTATGTTTTTCTAAAAAAAAAAGATAATTATACAAGTCTTTATAGATATTTGTTTTGATAGATATAAAATTAGAATTTATGGTTTATTCTTTCAAAATGCATTTTAAGAAACATTTAGGAGAAATTGAAATGGAAAAAAAATTTCAATTACTGATTTAAGAATTTTATTTTCATTACAATGAAATAGAAATATCTATTATTGTGAGAGATATGAATTGCTGATAGTCTTCTCTATAAGTTATACTCTATAATAATAAAACATTCTACTCTCCCTATACTTTCACACATATGGATTGTTATTTACTGATTAAAAAATTCCAGTTAACACACAGAATTATATGGAGATTGGGTTTTTATGACAAATATGTTATCATTTTCCAATGAAGTTATGCTGGAGAATTGTGAGCCGGGTAGCAGTGGCACATGCCTTTAATCCCAGCACTCATGAGGCAGAGCCAGGCAGATCTCTATAAGTTCGATGCCAGCCTGGTTTGCAGAGCAAGATCCATGACCGGCACCAAAACTACACAGAGAAACCCTATCTTGAAAAACCAAAACCAAAACAAACAAACAAAAGATGGAATTAATTGTGAACATGTTTTCATGATTTTTTCTCATAATTTTTGAAAAGTTTAAAGGCAAAATATTTGTTGCTTGTAACGTAAAAACTTGAACTACTATGTATATATATGATATTTAGGAAATGAAGAGCTAATGGTTTCAGAAACATGTGTTTTCATGGTGAATATAATAAAAATTTCATTTTCTGTGGTTTCAATTTTTGTTTAAATAGCATTTTTCTAAGTGAACTAAATATGGTTAATTTAAATTCTAATTCAATATCTATGAAATCTACTTTTGTCCAGTTCTCTAATCTGATATGTTTAAGGGTTTAAAACATAAAAAATCTTGTTTTTTAAGTCTTTTTCTTAAAACAATTAAATAGTTTCTTTTAGGTTTTTTAATTAAAATGAATTTTAATTAAATACATCTGTGGTTATTTTTTCTTTTCTGTCTGGAAGCAGGTGTTTTTGTTTTGTTTTGCTTTGTTTTTTAACTATATGCCATTGCAGTAAAAGGATAAACCTTATCATGGCTACTCCTAAAGATTTGTTTAAAAGGTTGTTTCTCAGATAAAGACCATTCTTCTAACTGGAAGAATTTGGTTATTCTGTGTATTTTCCCATAGAAGCATCTGATAAATTCTTGTGTTTATTAAGCATGTGCAAAGCATTCAAGACCCCAATGACAAGCCAGTTATTGTTGAAATGGTTTCATTCCAGTATCCTTGGAAGTCTGGTTAAGTATTTGCTGATAAGCCTCTGTGGCCCTCATGGTTCTGGCCATGTGCTAGATGAAGATTTTACAAGAACAACCTGCTGCATTTATGGGAAGTTGGCTTTTAGGGAATTTTTTAATTCCTACCAAGTGTACATTCTATGTATTCATTGATAAAAGAAACCAAATTCTGTTTTTTAAGACAAGCAATAAGTTTAAATACAATTCAAAAGCCATTTTTTAATTTTAATATTAAAATATAATATAATATAAATAAAATATAATATAAGTAAATTAAGCTAATTTAATTAAAATATAATTTTTTAAAAAGTAATTGTCAAAATGAAAATCTTTAGATTTTTTCATTATGTATTTTCAAACAGCTAAAATTCAAGTTCCCTTTTCTTGCTGAGAATTTGGGATTTTCTAGGTACTTCTTTTCCCATGTTGAGTGAAAGAAAATAATGTTCATTGTAATATGGAATGTCTGCAAGTAACTTAAGTCCTTTGATAAATTCAGCTCTTAAGTTTTACTGTTAGGTAAAATTTAGACCTATGAATTTTTTTTTTGTTTTTGTTTTTGTTTTTTTGTTTTTTCGAGACAGGGTTTCTCTGTGTAGCTTTGTGCCTTTCCTGGGACTCACTTGGTAGTCCAGGCTGGCCTTGAACTCACAGAGATCCTCCTGGCTCTGCCTCCCGAGTGCTGGCATTAAAGGCGGGCGCCACCACCGCCCGGCCTAGACCTATGAATTTTTTTTCTGATAATTTGAATGAGATAATTGAGAGCTCATTTACCCTTTTAGCTTACTAAAAATCTTAAATGCAGAGCAAAATTGTAGTATCACAGACTAAAGACTGGTATGTCTAGCCAAAGAATGAGATAGCACTACCTAAACCCAGTAACTCTATATGAGTTTTATTTATTTAAACAATTACATCATTTGACGATTTCTCATGTGTACACAATTTATTTTGATGCATGTTTCCCGATCCCCTCATCTATATCAAAAACTCACCTCAACCCCATCCACACCATTCTCTTGCCCAGATTCATTGTTTTTGGTTTTATTATCAGAGGCATTGAGTTTAACTAGGACCATCTGTGTGACCATTGGATTAGAACTGTCCATTGGTGCCTGGTAGAGTCAACAGTGGGTTCACAACAGAAGGCAATGACTCCCGCTCTCCTTGAATCTCTCAGTAGCAAATAGTTTAGTAGTAAGATGCGGGGCCACTAGAGTCCCTCCTTCATCCGTGCCTCACTGTTGTGAGCCTTCTGCTTGGGCAGGCTCGGAGGGCATATACAACGGCTATATATTTGAGACGAAAATGTCTGCGCCTTGCCCAGAGTACCACAAAGAAAATAAAAAGGTGATTGAAGGCAGATAGCCTGAGTGGCTGGAGGAAAACTCATCTCAGAAGCAGTGGTATCTCTGTGAGTTGTAGGTTAATGAAGACTTAGAAATCCTGCATAGCCTTTTACCATTCCTCTAGTTGCCCCCCGCCCCCATAACTAGACCCTATTACTAAAGCTATTATACACCCTGGTGAATCATATAAAGAAGTCAAGGACTTCCTCCCTGATGGTCAGCTATCAAAGCTTCCGAAGGTAATATGAATGACAGTGGGGACAAAAAGGCATCAGTAATCTTACTCAGATTGCAAATCTTATTATCTATGGGACCCACCTTCCATGCAAGATATGCCCTTTAGAGAAACAGTGCCATTACTGTTATGGGGGTAACCAAATGCTCTCTGATTGGCATTGAGTTCTGCTACTATAAACCTGGTGATAAATCCATGGTGGGGAAGATCATAGGCCTTGCAATACAATGGAATATATATATTCCATATGTATATATGTATATATATTCCATATATATGTGTGTGTATACATTATATATATGCATATATTTATACTTGAGGATTTGACACTTGAGGACTCAAACTTTGGTACTGAAAAAAATTAGAAATGTTATTACAAAAGAGCTTTAGTATGGACATACAAGCTAATCATTGATCATTTTAATTTTTTCATGAAAATAATTTGAAAAATGTAAGAGTAATTAATTATTCTAATTTTACAAATTATAAAGCTCGAGATTTTGAGTTGCAAATTAAATAGCTTCTGAACGCTACTGTCTTATTAATTATATCATGATAATGTAGGTGTCAGTACTGCAAAATTCCTGTCTTGCTTTTGACAGAATTGTTTTCATTTGTATTGTGAATATCTCAGAAGACAAAAAGATCTCACTGCATTAGTTTTATAGTAATTATAGAGGGTCCAGCTATGTTGAAAATTTTAATGATAGAATAATTCCCATAAAAAATTTAAAATGCCATATCATGGAAAGAAACATTGATTTGAATGGATAATGCTCTTCTGTTTTCTTTCCATTGTTATTCAATCTGAAGATGTTTTGTGCCATCTCTGAAGTGTATTTGTGCTGTTTTGGCTTTTTTTTTCAGCCAACCCTTAAGAGAAAGGACAGGATTAGTGCTATGTTGAATGCATTACGGATACCATGTCGAGGAAATACCAGGCCAGTTAAGTGCTTATCAGGAATATCATTATTCTTTCTGGTTGGTGCTCATGCATGTTGGTGATGGCCTGGTTCTCTCTACCAGCTACTTAGATGCCTCTTATCCAATTTAAACTTATGTCAATCTGGAATGGCATGACTTTGTGACTCTACTGTCATAATGTTAGACTCTATGTAAATGTTTCAAGATTATACTGCTTTTGATCAAAAAACTTATATCTGTATTATGTGGATATAAAAATAATAAAGAAAATGGCAATGAAGTATTATTAATGTTCTGCCACTTGTAAAAATCTAACTGTTTTCTCATTTGCATTTTTGATACATTTATTTAGTCTCTGTGTGTGTGTGTGTGTGTGTGTGTGTGTGTGTGTGTGTGTGTGTGTGTGCCTGTGCACATGTGTCTGTGTGT